TGAATAGAGATGCGTCCTGCGGTTTAGTCATGTGCATGAATGATGGTAATTGGTCTAGCTCAGCTACTCACCTGTCGCATTGAATTATCAGAGAGAATTAACCTCAGTACCTTACGGTACATCTTTCAGGATGACGAGGATGGCAGTAGATTATGATGCTATATGGGTGAGGTGAAACAGCAGTTCGTTGCATTTCGATTTCATTTCTGTTATCCGTCGGTGATTCCCTAGGCACCCGACATTGTGGGCGTTACAGTCACTGCGATCAGCATCAGCATCATCAGAATCATCATGTGGTAACGCCCAGCCCACAGAACTTGGAGGAGCGACTGTTGGTCGGTACTAAATCCATTCTCCGACTGCAAGCTAGAAAACATCAACACTTCAAAACAAAATTTATCGGCAATCTCCTAATTATCTCATAGAGCAATTTTCGACAACAGGCCTGGAGTTGTAGAACCTTTAAAGTCACCTCACTTTCAATTAACATGTTCAAAACCGCAGGGAGGGGTGGACTGGTGGGAGCACGCCTCACACCATGAACCTAGAGGCGCGGTGGGACACAGGCTTCCTAGATTATAATGTATTGTCTTACATAGAGTTTTGCGATCGTCATCAAGTATAGTCTTAGTAGTATAATTTCTCACTACCCCGACTCAAATAATAAACTGGAAATATAATTTGTTGTTGAAGGCTACTGTCACTATATGTGTATAGTGATGATCATATACAAAACGACCGTCCTGTCTACTGATCCATTATTCTTTACATCAACTTTCAACCTTCCGTTATATCGAGCCTTTAAAAGCCCCCGTCAGTCACTCCATCTTTTGCCAGAGCTTCAAATTCATCAGCCAAGTGCTACACCATCACCGGGACCAACTCACAGGCTATACCATCTACATCGTCACTCAGGCTCCTGTTAGACTCCGAGTCACTGGTAACGGGTGCTGCTGAGATTTGCGCGAAGGCCACAGACAAGAGTAGGATGTAAAAGCTAATTTTGGGCAGGATCATGGTAATAAGACTTGTTGGTTAAGATGCGTTTTTGTGTGCCAAATGAGATTGTAGTTGGGCCCTTTTATACTAATCAGCTCGGCGAGGGTTTACCCAAGTGAAGCACGTTGCTTTGGAATTTAAAGATAGTATTTTTGCCAACGGTAAGATGGAAGTCGGCGTTCAAATTTAAATTCGGTGCACAGAGATTGACTGATGCGGACTTACCATACTGTATTGATCGTGAGTATTGCCTGGCGGTAAATCAGAGGATTAGTACTGACTCACATCTGAACGGCCGGGATGACGGCACCTGCAGGTTTGTACTGTTTTTGGTTCCAACACCACAATGCTGATGCCATAGCACTTCTGAGCAAGGACATGCCGTCACTTTCAAGTTAACTTTGAAAATAACCTGACTTGAGCGAAATCTGTTTAATGCACTTGCTGCCATAATGAAGTAGTTCGATCGAAATAGTCAACGATGAGTTCGCAAGTTGGATTGGAAATGTCTGCGTAATCCAGGCCGATCAGGCGGAGCCCAAGAGATGGATGTGAACGCCACATAGTTGTACTCACTGGAGTCTCGTCTCTCCTCGTTCGGAGCCTCGAACGGTTGACCATATCTGACTGTATGAGTTGTTCTGTCAACATCACACATATTTTTTACGAACGAAGTTACATTTTACACTTGAATAGAGATACGTCCTGCGGTCCAATAGCCATGAATCACGGTAATTGGTCTAGCTCGGCTGCTCGCCTGTCATATTAACCCATGAGAAAGAAATAACCTTACCTTGAATTGGGGACAGGACGCCTCACGTCAGGGGATTCGCGCACCCGGAGATGCGATCGGTCCTTAGACTACTCGTAGAATGTATTGTCCTAGTACTTCTCTGAGACTGCAAAGGACAAAAATTGGAATAAAAAAAACTTACCTGACGGTACATCTTTCAGGATGACGGAGATAACAATAGATTATGATGTGCCACAACGTTGTCACATGGGTGGGGTGGAAAAGCAGTTCGCTACATTTCAATTTCAATTCTGTTATCCATCGTTTCCTAGGTGCCCAATGGGCGCTACAGTCGCTGCGATCAGCATCAGCATCAGAATCATCAGAATCATCGTGATGTGGCAACACCACCATGCAGCCCACAGAACTTGAAGGAGCGACTGTAGTTCCTTCTCAGTATCGGGTAAATCCATTGTGCAAACTAGAAAAGCATCAACACCTCAAAACAAATTTGAGACGTAGTACTCGGATCCCCATTTCTGTGGTATATAAATATAGAAATTGTCAGCGCAATCACGTGCTGATTGAAAGGACAGGTTTGACCGTGTGATGGGTCCACTGGACAATTGTGCAACCAGTCCATATGCGAGAATCCGCGAGGAGCCCTAACTTGACCGGGGTAAAGTATTTTAGGGCCATGGCAAATTAGTTGGCAGTGCTAATCATATGTCAGCAGGGTATCTGGGCTCCATAATAATCAAGAACTTGCGTCACGACTCACTAGTAGTACCTTCAGGTAATCGGTATCCATGATGTCTCGCGCAGAACTGGTAGTTGGTTGGATGTTCGGAATGCTTACTATACTTGCCACCATGTGGCATGGTCACATCCGACTGCAACCGGCAGAACATCGCGAGTACCTCCCATACGTGTTGAAGCAAAAACATGATAGACTGACCTCCGCACTTTAGAATCTCAGGCCATAGAATACACTTACGCTGGTGACGATTACCCATGGGAATTTCCTGTCGATCTCACCCATGAAGCCGTCGCGATGACTCTTCACGAGAGTGTGCATTTTGCTCTAAACGCATCTGATACAGAATCTCAACTGGAGTGGGAGAGCCTCCCAAGTTGGCCGAAAATAGTTGGTCGCACCCATCTAGGACCAGAGCAGCGACTCTTCGTGCTGGTCTTCGGTCATCAACTTCACTGTTTATGGATACTGCAGGAGGCTCTCGTCGACTACAGCCGTGACGAACCCTTCACCAATTATCATCACGCACATCACTGTCTCAATTATCTTCGGCAGACTCTTATGTGTGATGCTGCACATACGCTGGAAATGGGAGACTTTCTGAATGTCGATTATGAGAAGGACAGAGTGGGGGACACATTAGTTTGCAGGGACTGGAGCAATGCCATTTCAGTATCTGAAGAGTACCACGAGAAGTGGTTGCAGTGGAGGACGCGTTGGGACTGAATTGACACACTACCTCGTACGCTTCAACCTGTTCGCTGAATGTATCTGCAGAACTATGTATTATTCTACTGAGTGGTTCGATGGTTGTACTAGGTTTAAATTTTCAAATCCGAGCCTGTTCAATCCAACAAAATCGTTCAGTCTCTACTAGTAGCACTGCCTAGTTGCATGAACCAAGTTGTCTCGAGTTCAGACGAGGGAAAAGCCCTGCAAACCGGCTCCTGCAAATTACTTATGCGTCTTCCCAATGGGATAGAACAATCCCTCTTTGGGCTAATGCTTTGCTGTACCCGTGGAAGGAGGAAATCGCTGCGACAATCCGGTTATTCCATTCCCATGCATTCAATATTCCTTGTATTTTACAGGATTAACTATTCAAGGATACGTCAGAAAATCAGCCACCACTTGAAGGTACCTCGCTTGGTTCTCCTCCTCCAAGAATGGCATGTGACGCTGCGAGAACTGTGCCCACTTCACATGCGGGATTCTCTGGAAGAAAGGACTCACGCAGACGTCCTGCGCTTCGTCCATCACACCGTTGGTGAGCAGAGTTGGAGCCGTGATTGTGTGAATCTGATCCAGACACGACCATGACTTCAGCGTTCCTGTGATCGTAAACTCTGACGGTCCGATCCTGGCAACCATGATCAGTACATGTCAGAAAGATGCATCGAGACATCACCTACATCGTATGATATACGGTGGGATGTTGCATCATTGCCGCAAAGGACATTTCCATCACCTTCGGCCAGGGGGTCTTGCAAACGTGCCTCTCATAGAAGATCCCCATCCCTTGTTGATATTCGGGGCTATCCGTCGTTCCCTCCTTCTCGTGCTTTTCAATCGTCTCCCTCGTATTCGCTGGCAGCGCTTTCAGCAACTGGCCAGTGCTTTGTTCCCACAGTGCCATGGACGGCGCTCCGCCGGTGATGATGAGGTGTTTGAGACCCACAGGATGTCTGTGGCTGGCGTAGTGCGCCCCAAGCATCCCTCCCCAGGAGTGACCCAGAAGAGCGAAGCCATTCTGGACACCAAGGTGGGCAATAAGGTTTTCCAGCTCATCCACGAAGAGATCAACGGTCCAAAACTCTTTTGGTTTGTCTGCCACACCTTCAAAAATAGACTTTCCGATGCCGATCTGGTCGTAAAAGACGACGGGGATGTTGCATTTGTTGTGGATTTCGTCGAGAGGTGTCATATACTCATGCGAGACGCCAGGGCCACCATGCAGCACGATGAGAGGATGTGCACCCGAAGTGAGATCACCAACGATTTTGTACCAAGTCTGGTACGCGTCGTCTCCGACTTTGAAATCTACTTTGCCTGTAACTTCAACCATTCAAAGATCAACCTATGGGGCGCGTCGGAGGTATACTGTTGACCAAATAAGACTTGATACGCGATAAAGGCTGATGCGTTTGGAAATGACAACGTTAGGACCAAGTTGGGACGTTCAACTTGGATTATTGCGGCTGTGTCATGCGCCGCCCAAGCGCTTAGATGAAACGGCGGTGTTTCGGTAGTTTCAAACTTGTTGGGAGCCGATCTACTTCGGATTCAACGCTAACAAGGCACTAATCGAGTATCGATGCTGTGCTATGAGGTAAATTCCTCCCAATTCTAGTCTACTCTGATATTCATTCTGATATCATATATCAAGCTTCAACTTACGGATGCGCGTTAGCTGGGAGGAACCGTCGGATCTCCCTGGACTTCCAATTCCGCGGTGGAACCGTTCAAACATGCGTCCTCGTGACTCGTGAGTCGTTTCCTGAAGAGGAAATACTCAGTCAATTAAAAGGTTCCGATTTTGCAATTGTAGTGATTAATCCCGCCACGTCATGACCAGTGGCAACTCACGGTTTATCCCACTCGCTTAAGAACCTTGCAATGGATATGTTTCGGCATTATTTAACGAGGTGCTCACATCATGGTCGTGACTCGCTCCCACTCCCCCGAGTCCCCAGATATCTCCTTCCTCCTGCGGAAGCCTGAGGATCCTTCAGGTTATTCTGTTCGCCATCTGATATATCATGTCATCTAGTTGGACACCAGACGAATCGTCTCAAGTGCTTCTCGCAGAGAAAGGCTGGTTGCAGGGTGCAGTGGTCAGCTCCATCGCATATGGCATTGGTGTTACACTGTTCTTTATGTGCTTCTACCTCCTCATCCGGCAAATTACCCGCACGAACTACAAAAAGACCCTGCCTCTACTCATATACATCACCGTAGATTTTATCCTCGGCACCATATTTGTGGCAGTGCTGGCTGATTTCACACAACTTGCATTCATTCAATATCGCAATTATCCAGGCGGTCCGAGCGCATTTGAGAATAACATGTTCGGCATTCCTGTGGACAGTGTTGGAAACGTCTGTGGTGTTCTGATGATGGCTCTTTCAGATGGATTGGTCGTGAGTAGAGGTATTCGACGTTGAAAATGTTATCGCTAATATATCTGTTCAGGTTTGGCGCTGCATGGTAATTTACAGAGGGTGTATGGTGCCAGTGTGGATCATCATGTTGTTCCCTTGTCTGATGTTGGGTGCATCTATCGGTCAGTTGATTACTTTTAATGTCTGTTTGATTGTATCGGACGCTCATTATCGCAACCAATAGTTATGGGTATAATGTGGCTGCTTCAATTAACCAGCAATTCCCCATTTTTCACCTCGGGTAGCATCAACTACACCATTCCATATCTCGGCCTCTCACTCGCACTGAACATTATCATCACGATCGTTATCGTCCTTCGTCTACTCACATATCGTCATCGAATTTCCAAAGTTCTTGGCCCTGGCTACGGCACTCAGTACACGTCGATTGCTGCGATGATAGTCGAATCTGCCGCTCTTTATTCCACGTTTTCGCTGGCACTTCTGATACTCTTCATTCTAAACAATCCCATCTTTGGAGCATTTATTGAATTGCTGCCTCAGATTCAGGTTAGCACTGGCAATTAGAGAGGCATTCGCGCTGCTTACGACATGCCACAGATAATTGCAATGTTGCTCATAGTTTTCCGGGTCGCGCAAGGAAAGGGTTGGTCTCAGGAAACCATGTCTAGGGTCATGACCTCGAAGCCGTCAGTGCAAGCGATCCGTATGGGTGATTTCGGGTACAGTTTGCCGGATGGCTCCAAAACGTTCACTAGTTCCTCTGGCATTAGAGTGCATGCGAACTACAAGAGTAGTGACCACAACTCAGCGGAAACGACTGTGTGAGGAAGGTCGCTTGGATACTAAAATAACAGTTGTAGAATGCCCCGGGTCAGAGTACATGTAAAACGAATATTTATTTAGTATACTTTGACAGTAGACCGGTCTCGGGATTGTATTGCTTGGACTTTGGACTTTTTTGAATTTATGTAACGAAATCTTGCATCGGCGTAGTCGTTCAGCCTGAAGGGAAACACGTTAATATTAACCGGCGTATATAGAAGATCTATGACGTATCGGTCTCCCACTATGTAGCACTATCATAGTAAGGGTAAGCGCTGGCCTCCGTGTTATCATGGAGCTGATGCGCTCAAACTAATATCCGCAGATAAGTAATTGGTTGCTAGTGCTAAGTGATGGACTGCCTTAAGTTCAGCCCCACCACCGGGTCCTCATTACGCTAACCTTTGCCTTCCATAACTTTATGGCACCTCAATGCTTCTGCGAGCCACGCAGTGATCTGGATCCGAAGCAACCCTACGATGATCATGAGTCCCCGTGCCTTGTTATGGCCTCAATTGTATAGGTGACTACTGGCCGTATTCCGCATTATGATGCGGCGACTCTGATTGATCAATCCGGGAATCACACAGCCGCATCGCACTAGTAGCGTACTGCCACGGGGCTACTACTACTATCTGTAGTTGGATATTAAGCGCCAAAAGCTACTGCGATTCCCTGCACATAGCAGTGATGAGACGACTTTTCTTTGCTCTTAAAGCGATACTCGCCACAGTCATGGGCATTGGCCTTGCCAATCTTATTGCACGAAGGCCTCATTTCTCCGACAACAGTCTTTTCAAAGGAATTGCTCTCAGCGATGGTACTACAAAGCTTTTGAGCGTGTCCTACAGACTTGACTGACGATTCCACGCATCAGATCTATCCCTTCAAATAGATTTCGGAGAACCAGTATGGATGCGAATAGACCAAACAGCACACTACCGCGCCGATACCGACGAGGGCGGAGAAGAGTTTGCGAAACTCGTTCCGCGGGGAGGGCACACCGTTCCCATCAAAGATGCGGAGACGGGTGAAAGTCGCATTTACACGGTGACGCTCTTTCACCAGCTCAAGTGCCTGGGAATTATCCGTGACAACTATGCGGAAAAGCGCCCCCCGTCGTCGGTTACTCGTCACTGCATGAATTATCTTCGCCAATCAATTTTGTGCCACCCCAACATCAAAATTGAGCCGGTCGTAAATAACGTGGGGTCTGCCGTCAGGGGATACGAGACTGTTTGTCGTGACTGGACAAAAGTTTATGAGGAGGTGGATAAGCTAAATGGAATGACTTCGGATGTGTAGGAGGTTTGAACGGATACCTGTACAGACTGCACTCCATGACTATACAGTGCGTACTGAAGTATACACACAATTGTACTTGCATAGGCCAAAAGAAATGTATCTGCACAAATTGGACGAGAGTTTGTGTATGTGGGCTCGTAAAAAGTTTGCCAAGGATGACTGAAAACGACATGTGCGTGAGAGTGATACATCTGAAACGCCAGAGCGACGAAAATCCAGGAAATAAATACTTTCATTTGATAGAGACGCCAAATGATATGGCCATATCTTGAGATGTAGTCCGAGTCGAGCAGAGCGGCTAGCTGAAACGTCCATGATTAATCAGCGGAGTCGATCAACACCAAATGTTCAACTCGGTGCTGACTACTAGCAAATAGCTAGACGCTTGTGACCATGCAGATGAATCTCCAAGTCATACTTATTGAGGTTAGAATGCACGCTCTCGTGAAGACTCATGACAATGGCTGCTTGAGATGAATCGATGAAACGTGATATTGACAGAGGGTGGGAGGTAGTACTTGCGAATCGCGATGGTGTGCTGCAGCTGCCAGTAAAATGTACAACAATTGGACCCATGTGTCGCGCATTGGTCCAACTGTTGTGCAGTCATTATGGACTTGTTTTCGACGTTGGAGTTGCTCCACGAGATAAGGAGATTGCCGATAAATTTTGTTTTGAAGTGTTGATGTTTTCTAGTACTCGGATAGTCGCTCCTTCAAGTTCTGTGGGCTGCACGGTGGCGTTGCCACATGATGCTGATGCTGATCGCAGCGACTGTAGCATTGGGCACCTAGGAAACGATGGATAACAGAAATTGAACTGCTTTTCAGATTTCCACCTCACCGTAGCCATGTGGCAACCAGGCTTACGGTGGCATCTGAAAGATGTACCATAAGGTAAAGGTTTTTTTAATTCCAATTTTTGTCCTTTGTAGAGAAGTATTAGGACAATACATTCTACGAAAGCTTGCAAGGACCCCGGTGTCCCGATCGCATCTCCAGGTGCGCGAATGCCCTGATGTGAGGCGCACCACTGTCCTCAATCCAGGGTAATCTCATGAGTCAACGTGACAGGTGAGCAGCTGAGCTAGACCAATCACCATGATACATGGCTATCGGACCGCAGGACGTATCTCTATGCAGGTGTAGAATGTAACTTCGTTCGTAAAAATACGTGTGGTGTTGACAGAACAACTCATACAGTCAGATATGGTCAACCGCTCGAGGCATCCAGCGAGTATACTAATATGACGTCCCAATCCACCTCTTGGGCTCTGCCTGATCAGCCCGGATCACGCAGATATTATTGAGTAGTTCCAATCCAACTTGCGAACCTATCGCCGACTATTTCGGTCGAAGTACTTCATTATGGCAGCAACTGCATTAAACAGATTTCGCTCAAAGTCATGTTATTTTCAAAGTTAACGGCATGTCCTTGCTCGGAGGTGCTGTGCATCAGCATTGTGGTGTTGGATCCAAAAACAGTACAAACCTGCGGGTGCCATCATCCCGGCCTTCACATATGGGTCAGTTCTGGTACTCTGAGACCTTTACCGCCAGGCAATACTTACGATTAATACATCCATAGTAAGTCCGCATCAGTGAATCGCTGTGCACCGAATTTGAACGCCGACTTCCATCTTACCTTTGACAAAAATATAGGGAAATACTATCTCTAAATTCCAAAGCAACGTGCCATTCACTTCGGTAAGTTTTCGCCGCCGAGCTGATGTATAAGAGGGCCCAAGTACAATCTCATCTGGCACACAAAAACGCATCTTAACCAACAGTATCATTCAATACTACCATGATCCTGCCCAAAATTAGCTTTTACATCTTACTCTTGTCTGTGGCCTTCGCGCAAATCTCAGCAGCACCCGTCAGACGCGTCACCAGTGACTCGGAGTGTAACAGGAGCCAGAGTGACGATGTAGATGGTATAGGCTGTGAGTAGGTCCCAGTGATGGCGTAGGACTTTACTGATGAATTTGAACCTCTAGTAAATGATAGACTTGGTGACTCGGAGCCCTGCGACGGCTTTTAAAGGCTCGATGCAGCGGAAGGTTGAAAGTTGATGTAAAGAATAATGGATCAGTAGACGGGACGGTCGTTTTGTATATGATCACTATACACATATCGTGACAGGAGCCTTCAGCTATTTCCAGTTTATTATTTGAGTGGGTAGTGGGAAATTATGCTACTGCAAGCGATGATATTCGGTCGTTGGGTTTTATTCACTCTTATAAAAGCAGACATTTGTATACTATATTTGCCGTATCTCTGTCCTCATTTGCTCCTGAAAATAAGCAGTATCTTGACAGTTTTTGATGCGGGACAGTGCAGTATATAGTTGACCATGCGCAAAAGGATCAGTTCCGAGATCTAGAACTGTAAGAGAGAGCGTGAGCCTGACATTGGCATCTGTTGAAAGTAGTCGCATGAGCCAGTCTCAGAGGAAATTGTTTGCGATTCACTGTCCAGCTTGAGCGATATATAAGGATGGAAGGACAACGTGATATGTGGAATGCAGTGGTTTTCGAGATTGTGGAGCAGCTGGACTTCGACGGATGGACAATGTAGAGCAGTTATTCATACACGCGCATTCCTCACCAATCCTTTTTCCACTGAGAGATTGCGTTGTATGGCGCATAGTATGCAGTTTATTTTACATAAGATCTAGTCGATGGGGAGGAATTCCGGGCGCAGTAAGCATTACTAGGTAACCTGGCGTTTGTTCAGGGGCGTGTGGTCTGCTAAGTGCTTCTTTTAAAATATCTGAACTTAGATACCAATCTTGGCTTTTTTCAATCTTCATTCAGTGCACTATCATTTATCACTCACGGTAATCACCAGGTAGCTATAGAGAGTTCAGAATTTTGTCATTAAATTCATCAACAAATACGTTTTGTTGGAGGTTGCCAACTTGCAAATGAGCAGCACATCATGACGGGGTCAATTGACACCAAGCCGACAGCAACTCATGCTAGACGTAAGGCAATTAAGCATACGTGGACGAAGGGGGAGAAGGGATTTGTTCCGGTAACAGTTACTAGTACCGTACGTCGTGCGACTTGACACATTCAAAGTTTTTGGAAAAACCATTCCCGAATTTTAAACCCATGCATTCCCCCTTCGCCGAGCTGACATTTACATAAAAGGGCCCAACTAATCTCATCTGGAATAAGACAACGCATCTTAACCAGCGAACTTTAGAATCATTCAATACTATGAGTGTGTCCAACACCAGCTTCTACGTCTTACTCTTGTCCATGGTATTCACGCGATTCGCAGTGGCAGACAAATGTGACGGGCCTGGTGACGGTGACGATGGTACAGCCTGTGAGTGGGTCCCGGTGATGGCGTAAGGCTTGACTGATGAATTTGAACATCTAGTAGATAATGGAATGGTTGGGGCCTGCAACTTTTAAAGACTCGATGCAGCGGAAGGTTAAAAGTTGATGGGAATAATAATGGATCAGTAGACGGGACGGTCATTTCGTACATGATCACTACACACATATAATGACAGAGGACTTTTGCATTCACCGATGTGGGTACCATTCACAAAATATCACCACGCGTGAATCTCGTGGCTTAGCCTTTGAGGGATCGCAATAGCCCTCCAAAGCAGCGAAAACAGTCAAGGCGACGTCTGCGAGAAAGCGTCATAGTGCGCGAATACCCGAAATCAGATTCCCTCATTCAGATGACGCAATACCCCGGAGCTGTTGAAGGTGTCGCACTTCGTGTAACCAGCGATCCAGAACGTCTATATCATTTCTGCACGAACAACATACTGTTCAGCTGGACCTCTGTTTTTAACATCTTCGCAACAACGCCGCAGACTGCAATCAGAGTCTGACCGATGTCATACGCAGCACGTCGGATTGCCAGCTGTAGAGTTGAAGTTGATGATATGGCGTGGGCGGGACGCAGGCAAGACATGCCATGGTCAAAGGGATAGGCAGGCAGAAATAGGTCCACTCATGTTCAAGTGCAGACTTTGCGACAGTAAGGACTAGATCTTGAAGCTTCGAAGAACAGTTAGCCAAGTTGTCGCCGTTGGCTGCAGAACTAATACAGCACAGCAAGTTAACTGCCGTCGTCTAATGCAAAAACAGCAAGGTTAAGCAAATAGCCTGAGTAGTTGAGCTGGGACCCAGCACGGCTAGCTGACCATGTCATGTATCAAGATAGATAGCTGGATAACGCATTCCAGCATCGGTATATCAAGCCTCAGTAAAAGAAACGCGATATGAACTTCAACTGCGAAGGCTGAGCGCTGAGTGAGGAACGAATGTACAGTCCGGCCTCGCCGTCCAGACTCCAGGTGAAGAGACAAAGCAACCATAAAGACAAAGAAAAGAATGCAGTGCCGGCTCCTTCCGAGTCCGAGAACTCAAAATCAGCCACGGCGATATCCAGGATTCTAGGTGTCGATCATCATACCGCATGCTTGAGCTTGAACTTGATTGGGCACAAAGCAAGCACAAAGGATCGTTAGCTTCCATGCCCATTCGTTTGTCTAGTGATCATATCACAGAAATCCTGGAGGACTTTAAAAGGGGATTGTATTGTAAATGAAAGTCACAACGGTTTGCCTACAAGGCCCAAGGGACGTAGATGTTCGCTACTGGTAAGTGCATAACTTCCAATGTCAAGGTTGATAAGCACGCTCTGAACCTTTGCCTTTGACGCTCACCCATAATATTTAAGATGTCCATGAATTCCTTTGTAGTGGCGTACCGGTACACCCGTCACCTTTCACCCTTTTCCCAGCAGTCGTGGAGGAATCGCACATCCGACGCTAGATTTCGTGGTGAATCGGGGAATTCGCTCCCATCGAGGACTGACTTACTGCTGAATCCCATCACCTCGTATGCATCCTCGTACTCATCCTCGTCCGAATCTTCACCGCTCGCATCAAATGCAAATGAGGAAGCGGCTAGCGGGCGCCGTTCTGTATTCGACGGACAAAACCAGTCTCTTCTCCTGGTTAGTTTGTTATACGTCTATGAAATCGAGTTAGTTATTCATTCCATTCGTCGGAAAGATTAGCTCGCCTCTATCTTGAGGATGCCCGGGCATTTACCCCTGTGCTTGACCCATAGCCCAGGATAGTACCTGGAGCGCTTGTCA